TGCTGATACCTGACGAAGGGAGCGCCGATTTCCGGAAGCTCACACGCCCCCAAAATTGTTGGTCTCTCAAGTGCTACTGGACTCAGATGTCTTAGTGTGAAATTCTGATTGCCTGGCTGTAAGATTTCGACTGCACAGACTTTTATGTGTTGGGTTCTTATGTACTCCATGAAGAAAGAAAGAAAGAAAGAAAGAAAGAAAGAAATTTTATGTGTTGGGTTCTTATGTACTCCATGAAGAAAGAAAGAAAGAAAGAAAGAAAGAAAGAAAGAAAGAAAGAAAGAAAGAAAGAAAGAAAGAAAGAAAGAAAGAAAGAAAGAGACAGAGACAGAGAGACAGAGAGACAGAGAGAGAGAGAGAGAGAGAGAGAGAGAGAGAGAGAGATTGATTCTTTGAACAGGCTTGAGAATTGTGTCATTTCTTTTATCAAGTACAAAATTTTCCCAAACAGGCTGACCCCGGAAGGGCACGGAAGCATGGGAGTAACAGAAGGAAAATGCAACATTGTCGTTTTTGGCTGCCCCGTCAAAACCAAATGACCAGCTTCTCGCCAACACAGGCACTGTTTTTGATTTGATTGATTTGATTATCATCCCACCCTTCCGGTCAAGGCCGGCTCAGGGCGGCCTACAAAACAGAATAAAATCCCAACGATACGCATAAAATCACAACATCAGCTAATATAGATAACAATGTTAAAACCAGAAACATATATAAAGGGCTAGCGAGCATAATTTCCTCGTTTTACAGTCAACTCCTTCGTCTTCTTCAGTTGTCTTGGGAGATCAGCTCAGGCAATAGTTAATCAGGGCTCTCCCACCATAAGGTGTCAATTGTTAGCAGTGGTGGTAGTAGTGGCGGCTCCAAAGGCCTGGTGGAAGAGCTCTGTTTTACAGGCCCTGCAGAACTGTAGAAGGTCCCGCAGGGCCCTGGTCTCTTCTGGGAGCTCATTCCACCAGAGTGGAGCCCCCACCGAAAAAGCCCTGCCCCTTGTTGTCACCAGCCTGGCCTCGACGCTCCGGAGAGCCAGTCAGTTCTGGGTCCCTGATCTCAGCGCTCTCTGGGGTACGTATGGGGAAAGGCGGTCCCCTCAAGTATGTTGGTCCCTGGCCATAAAGGGCTTTAAAGGTAAGAACCAGCACCTTGAAGCGAATCCCGTATGCTATAGGCAGCCAGTGCAATGCCTTTAGCATAGGCTGGATGTGCTCCCGTATAGAAAGTCCCATCAGGAGCCTGGCTGCAGCATTCTGCACCGGCTGCAGCTTCCGGATTTGCGACAAGGGCAGCCCCATGCAGAGGGCCTTACAGTAGTCCAGTCTTGAGGTGACCATCGCGTGGATCACTGTTGCCAAGTCGTTGCATTTGAGGAAAGGGAACCAACTGCCTAATCAGCTGAAGATGGTAAAAGGCCGACTTGGCGGTGGCTGCCACCCGGGCCTCCATAAGTTAAGGAGGCGTCTAGGAGAACTCCCAAACTCCTAACCTCCGGCACTGGCTGATGAGGTGCGTGAGAGCTAGTTCAGACGTCAGTGGCTATTGCTGGATAAGTGTCAGCAACAGAGAGCGGAGGAAATTCAGCAATGCCCGGGCAGATGTGAGCCATGGGGGCACCACCGTTATCTGTTGTGCTATCTCCAGGGAAGACATGCGCAACCAGTGACTAACAAGTGGGTGGGTGGATTTGTTTTCACCAAACAAGGACTTGCTCAGATCCAAAACTCCCTCTAACCTGTAGCCCAGTGGCAGAGAGAGAGAACTGAGTCAGAAGTCTGACCTTGGAGCCTGCCAAGATCTCGTCTGCGCAGCACTCCGAGAAACAGGGCCACGCAGCACATTTTGCAAGCAACAAAATGCACAATGAGCTTTCTCAGGCTTTGGCCCTGTGAATCCTGATTTAAAAAAAACAAAACACTGAAAAGCTCTCTTCCTGTTTTGGGGAAGCACCATTGCCACATTGTAATCGTTTTATTTTAGTTGCTCTGCAATTAAAACAAAGCAATAGCGTTTAGCAGTGTTCCCTCTAAGCTGAGTTAGTGTGAGCTAGCTCACAGTTTTTTTAGCCTCCAGCTCACACATTTTTGTCTCGGCTCAGGAAAGATGGGCTCAAGAGCAAAATGATTCATGCAGCAGCCAAATCACTCGCTCACAACATTAATGCCAGTAGCTCACAAAGTAGACTTTTTGCTCACAAGACTCCAAAGCTTAGAGGGAGCATTGGTGTTTAGTCAAAACCATTGCTCTCGCCTGTTTATCCAATTTAATTTGCACCCGGCAAGAAATGAATTGGAAAACTCAACGGTTTGTTCGCAAACAGCAGGGAGGGCCAGAACACCCCTCGCCAAGCCCAACTGTCTATGCGTATTATTTTCTTTATTTATACCCTCCCTACCTTTCTCCTCAGTGGGGACCCAAAGTTACTTCCATCGTTCTTCTCTCCGCCGTTTTATCCCCACAACAACCCTGTGAGGTCGGTTAGGCTGAGAGCGGGCGACTGACCCAAGGCCACCCGGCAAGCTTCCATGGAGTGAAGCAGGGATGCCAGCCTCCAGGTGGGACCTGGGGATCCCCCAGAATTACAGCTCATCTCCAGACTGCAGAGCTCAGTTTCCCCAGGGAAAATGGCTGTTTAGGAGGGTGGGATGCATGGCATTGTACTCCCCTGAGGTCCCTGTCTTCCCCGGGTTCCACCCCCAAATCTCCAGGAGTTCCCCAGCCTGGAACTGACAACCCTGCCCTTGAGTTGTGTATCATGTTGTAGTGCTTTAGATTGCAATACATAAACAGCATTCTTTATAAGTCTTATGACTGTTTGATTGTGGGTCAGACTATCACGACTGTTGGCTTTATACTCGTTTAACTGATTGGGTCGTGTGCGTCCAGATTTTTTTTGCAACCTTAGGCATGAGTCAGGATTCGAACCCGGGTCTCCCCAGATTCTAGTCCAACACTTTAACCATCAGACCCTAGCTGGCTCTTGTGCCGATGAATGTTCAGCATCAGACCCAAGTATAACCTGAATATGACCAGTTCTTTTTTTGAGGCAGAAGGAGCTTCCCCCCCCCCCCAACTTCTAAATGAACGTTTTTCTCTTCAAACATTTCACTGTTGCCCTTTTCAAGCACACGGTCATTCTCACACAGTCGTAAAAGTGGGATTTCGACCCCCACGCCCCAGGACTGTTAAAGTAACAAACTAATAGTCATCTTAAAATTGGGGGGGGGCCCCCCCCATGGCTAGGAGAGAATTTGGAGCGCTACCAATTTGGAGGGGGCGAGGAATACCAGAAGCCTGGTATTCCTGTATTCTCAAAAGAAACTCTCTCTCTCTTTTTTAAAATTTTTTTTTATTAATAATTGTCAAAGCTAAATAAACCATCCCTTACATCCCAATTCTTTTCCAAATAGTCCTTAAAATCTTTCCAGTCTGTAAAAAAGTCTCCTGCTTCCAAATTGTTAAAGTTTCCTTGTCAATTTGTTTCTCAAAAGAAACTCTCATTCTTTGCCATGGATGTGCCACACTGTATTATTCTGCTAGTGGAGTCAGAGGTATCTGTACAAAGATGTGCTCTTAAAAAATATACATACACATACACATATACACACACATATATATATATATGAAGATACGAAATCACTCCTTCTATTGAAGGAGTACATGGATAGCACCTGTGGTAGTAGAATGGCTTTTTTTGTCAATTACTAAGGAAGTTTTATGGGCCTAATACTTCAGTCATGCACTTTTTCCTTCTGCTCCCAGAGACCTGAGGGCTGTGGTTAAAAGAAGCCTCCCTGTTGTAATTGCTGTATTAAGATTTTAAAAACCTACGGCGTTGAAAAATGAGCTTCCACCACCCTGGAGTCACTCACAGTGCAAACCTGCGCAAAGTTATCCACTGATTTTAATGCGCTTCGGGTAGCTCCTCACAAGATTACACAGTTACAGCTTAAATCCTCTAAGTGTGGGGAGTCTCCTTTCCCTCTTCCATTCACTGTGGCAAAACCCAACCCCAAAGCCCTGCTGTTTACAAAATGCCACTAATTCAAAAACGGTAGAAATAAACCAGAAGGTTTGATGCGCCACAAAATAACCTACCCCTTTATTACAGAATACATAGCAATATTGTCGTAGAATGAGGTGGTACAGGTAACGGGGCAAAGCGGCTACATATTCTTAGGAGCTCTCTGGGTCCCGGTTGTGGATGTGGGTCCCAAAACGTATAGGAGGGTTTAAGAGGACACACTTACCGGCCGCCGCATAGATAAAAGCTGCTTTAATTAGCAAACTTCATCAGGACACGGAGAAGGCAGAAGGCGTCTGGGCCAGCAGGGAATATGGGCAACTGCTGATGCGAGGAGGCCAGTTTTGACTCACCCTCCTCCAAGATAACATCCTGGGGCTGGGCCAGGCACACCGCCAGGGTGAAAAGGCTTTGGGTGTTTCCCCCGACACACCACGCTGAGTATTGTTATACAACGCACGTGTGGAAATACGGGCAGGCTGTGGCAGGGCGCTGCTTGAGAGATGCCCTTTTGTTCAAGGCGACGGGGTGGTGCGATCGCAGCTCACACGCGGCGCTGGCAGACACCGTGGGGATTTGCCCTGCTTATTTCCGTCTCACAAAGGAAACCCGGTGCAAGAGCTGTGGAAAGTGTTCTTGGCCTGACTATCTACTTGTGCTTACCGATTTTACTGATTTGTGGCCTGAAAAGGGTGTGTGCGTGTGTGTGTGTGGGGGGGGATCAGATTCAGAACCAGGTTCGAGGAAGCTTCCCAGCCTGGTCTCCCCAACGTCATGGGTTGGGGGGGGGGGGGGGGATCAGATTCAGAACCAGGTTCGAGGAAGCTTCCCAGCCTGGTCTCCCCAACGTCATTCTTACTTACCCTCAACTGATCGCAAGTTATAGACCCGACTTGTAGACTTCGGGAAAGCGGGTTCAGTGAGCTCCAGTTAGATAAAGATAATCACATCCCACACCCAGTCTAAAAAACACAAACCCCTAAAGAAACCTAATATGCCATATTCATAAAACCAAGGGAACTGAGGAACGCCAGTTTGGTGTAGTGGTTAAGTGTGCGGACTCTAATCTGGGAGAACTGGGTTTGATTCCCCACTCCTCCACTTGCACCTGGCTGGATGGCCTTGAGCAAGCCGTAGTTCTGATAAGAGCTATCCTTGAAAAAGAGCAGTTTCTGTCAAGAGCTCTCTCAGCCCCACCTACCTCGCAGGGTGTCTGTTGTAAGGAGGGGAAGGGAAAGGAGTTTGTAAGCCGCTCTGAGACACCTTTGGGTAGTGAAGGGCGGGGTATGAATCCAATCTCTTCTCTTCTTCTAACGGGCCGTTTTAATTTGTCGCATCACAACTGGAGGCAGTCAAAGATGGTTTTTATTTAGGATCGTATTCGGTCAAGTGTTTGGGTGGGAGACCTCCACGAATACCAGGGGCGTGACACGGAGTCAGGCAATGGCAAACCGCCTCTTCACGCCTGAAAACCCTACAGAGCCCCCATAAGTCAGCTGCGGCTTGATGACAACAACAACAAATCAGCAGTCCTAAATTGTGAGTTTAAATCTCGCTTTCTTAATAGCCTCCCTGTTGTAATTGCTGTATTAAGCTTTTAAAAACCTACGGTGTTGAAACATGAGCTTCCACCACCCTGGAGTCACTCGCAGTGCAAACCTGCGCAAAGTGATCCACTGATTTTAATGCGCTTCGGGTAGCTCCTCACAAGATTACACGGTTACAGCTTAAATCCTCTAAGTGTGGGAAGCAGTGTTCCCTCTAAGCTGAGTTAGTGTGAGCTAGCTCACAGTCTCTTAGCCTCCGGCTCACACATTTTTGCCTCAGCTCGGGAAGGGATGGCTCCAGAGCAAACTAATTTATGCAGCAGCCCAATCGCTCGCTCACAACTTTAATGCCAGTCACTCACAAAGTAGAACCTTTGCTCACAAGACTCCACAGCTTAGAGGGAACAGTGGTGGGAAGTCTCTTTTTCCCTCTTCCATTTACTGTGGCAAAACCCAACCCCCAAAGTTTTTTTTGCTGAACAAAATAGCCCCTAATTCAAAAACAGTAGAAATAAACCAGAAGGTTTGATGCGCCACAGAATAACCGACCCCTTTATTACAGAATACATAGCAATATTGTCGTAGAATGAGGTGGTACAGGTAATGGGGCAGAGCGGCTACACATTCTTAGGAGCTCTCTGGGTCCCAGTGGTGGATGTGGGTCCCAAAACGTATAGGAGGGTTTAAGAGGACACACTTACCAGCCGCCGCATAGATAAAAGCTGCTTTAATGAGCAAACTTCATCAGGACATGGAGAAGACAGAAGGCGTCTGGGCCAGCAGGCCGACGGGCAACTGCTGACACGAGGAGGCCGGTTTTGACTCACCCTCCTCCAAGATAACATTGTGGGGCTGGACTGGGCACACCGCCAGGGTGAAAAGGCTTTGGGTGTTTCCCCCGACACACCACGCTGAGTATTGTTATACAACACACGTGTGGAAATACAGGCAGGCTGTGGCAGGGCGCTGCTTGAGAGATGCCCTTTTGTTCAAGGCGACGAGGTGGTGCGATCGCAGCTCACACGCGGCGCTGGCAGACACCGTGGGGATTTGCCCTGCTTATTTCCGTCTCACAAAGGAAACCCGGTGCAAGAGCTGTGGAAAGTGTTCTTGGCCTGACTATCTACTTGTGCTTACCGATTTTACTGATTTGTGGCCTGAAAAGGGTGTGTGCGTGTGTGTGTGTGGGGGGGGATCAGATTCAGAACCAGGTTCGAGGAAGCTTCCCAGCCTGGTCTCCCAGAAGTCGTTCTTACTTACCCCGACCGATCGCAAGTTATAGACCTGACTTGTAGACTTTGGGAAAGCGGGTTCAGTGAGCTCCAGTTAGATAAAGATAATCACACCCCACACCCCGTCTAAAAAACACCCCCCCCTAAAGGAACCTAATATGCCATATTCATAAAACAAAGGAAACCGAGGAACGCCACTTTGGTGTAGTGGTTGAGTGCACGGACTCTAATCTGGGAGAACCGGGTTTGATTCCCCACTCCTCCACTTGCACCTGGCTGGATGACCTTGGGCAAGCCGTGGTTCTGACAAGAGCTGTCCTTGAAAAAGAGCAGTTTCTATCAAGAGCTCTCTCAGCCCCACCTACCTCATAGGGTGTCTGTTGTAAGGAGGGGAAGGGAAAGGAGTTTGCAAGCCGCTCTGAGACACCTTTGGGTAGTGAAGGTCGGGGTATGAATCCAATCTCTTCTCTTCTTCTCTTCTTCTAACGGGCCATTTTAATTTGTCGCATCACAATTGGAGGCAGTCAAAGATGGTTTGTATTTAGGATCGCATTCGGTCAAGTATTTGGGTGGGAGACCTCCACGAATACCGGAGTCAGGCAATGGCAAACCGCGCCTCTGCACGCCTGAAAACCCTACAGAGCCCCCCATAAATCAGCTGCCGCTTGATGACAACAAATCAGCAGTCCTGAATTGTGAGTTTAAATCTCGCTTTCTTAATGCTTTTAATGTGTTTTATTTTATGTGTTTTATTCCAGGCTGCAAGCCGCCTCGACCTCCGTAAGGAAGAACAGCAGCGAATAGAAGTTTTAAATAAAGAAATTATTAAAATGCCCACTTTCTTTCCTATTACTGCTCATTTGACCCAGTAGTCTCAAACAGCCTCTGAGAGCTGGTTTATTCAAGCAATTAATGGAAAGCTACCCATATAATGACAGGGTTTATGCAGCTGCTTTAGAATGTTTCTGCATTTCTACAATGGCAGAAATCTAGCGACCTGGTATGTAACCCATCCATCTTCACTGCTCTATCACCTAGGAGTCTCAGCAATTGGAGAAGCAGAATCCTTACTAATTAGGGGGGAAATTAGCTCCTGTCTGAGTTTTGGAAATTCAGGGCAGCTTAAAAGGACATGCTAAATTAATTGTGATCACAGACACAACTGCATGTCCTCTCTGAGAATGGAATGCCAGTGCATCTTACCTGACAAGACTGCAGATGGCCAACATAAAGGCATGTCTATATGTTAAATCACAAAAATATGTTGGGATACGAACTGGTAGGGGAATGCCAACTGTGAAGGTATAGCAAACCTTACTGATGTACTTCTTATCATCCAGATGTTTCAAATGAAGATGTCTTAGCTCATCGACATTTACGCTCCCCATCAATACGACTGAAATCCTAAGGCATGTTAGCGTACAATTTGCCAATTTATCCCAGTTGCTCTTATGATTGTCTAATTTAATAAGGCCAAGCAACCTTAACTCCAGATCTGACTGCAAGATCTTTAAAGTAAAGGTAAAGGTTCCCTTGCTCGAAAGCCAGTCGAATCCGACTCTAGGGTTGCGGTGCTCATCTCCGTTTCAAAGCCAAAGAGCCAGCGCTGTCCGAAGACGTTTCCGTGGTCATGTGGCCGGCATGACTAAACACCAAGGCGCATGGAACGCTGTTCCCTTCCCACCGAAGTGGTCCCTATCTATCTACTTGCAATGTCTTGCTTTCGAACGGCTAGGTGGGCAGGAGCAGGAACTAGAGACGGGAGCACACTCCGTCATGCGGCACACTCGGGTCTCGAACTGCTGAACTACCGACCTTCCACAGCCTGCAGTTCCGCGTCTTAACCACTTGAGCCACCGCAGCAAGATCTTTAGCTTCAAATTAAATGCCCATGCCCTAGCTTCGTAAGAGATCTCACCCACTTCTGCTCTTAGAAACACGCTTTGAGGGGGGCAGTATACTACGAAGAAATTTAATTAGTGGTCAATCAATAGCCTCAGTAACGGCTTCTATCCATACATCAGCCGCATATAAGAAGAAGAGTAGTAGTAGTTTGGATTTATACCCCATCCTTCACTACACAAGGGAGTCTCAGTGCGGCTGACAAACTCCTTTCCCTTCCCCTCCCCACAAGAGACACCCTGTGAGGTAGGTGGGGCTGAGAGAGCTCTTGACAGAAACTGCTCTTTTTCAAGGACAGCTCTTATCAGAACTATGGCTTGCCCATGGTCATCCAGCCAGGTGCAAGTGGAGGAGTGGGGAATCAAACCCGGTTGTCCCAGATTAGAGTCCGTGCACTTAGCCACTACAACCAACCAAATGATCGACTACCTCTGAGCGCTGAACATGCACATTGGCCCCCTGAAGTATAAAAGAATCTAGCGATTCCTTTCCCGGTGCCGTTTCCACCTCTTATTACCCATGTCACGTGAGTTCTCCATGAAAGAGTAGCATTGAACACTACTCCCCATAGTATTTAAACTGAGTGAACTGTTGCATA